TTGACTTCCAAAATTCCTTTCACTCTCATAGCTATGAAATGGAGAAGCCATTTTAAGGCAGATTGGATGTAATGTTTTTAAGGAAATCTAGCAGACTTACAACAATATACACATAATTGTCTAGTGGCAAGACAAATAAAAGCATCAAGACTGAGTACATTTTAGTGATGTACTGGATGCAGAAAGAAAATATTTCTTGGTAGTGGAAGCTACTGTTTTAAATACATGAGGCAAAGTGACAGGCAGATTTTTGAGCAACTTTTATAATTTAATCTATTTATAATCAAATTCTATTTCAATTGCATGCAGGCTGAGAGTGCAGGAGCTGGTTCTGGTTACTGTTACTGGTTCCCTAAATGAATGCACTAAGATTTAGAAGCTGTGTTCACTAACAATGAGTTTAATTGGTATCTACACACAGTACTGAAGTCCCAAAATTGTATTCTGGGCACACACTTGACTCAGTGAAAGATTGGGATAGATTATGTAGAGACAGTGTGTAATTCCCCTTGCAAAGTCCTCCCAAGTGCAGAGGGAAGGCGAGTGGCCAAGACAATCCCTTGCGTGAGCTACCCAAGCTACTGGCGGCTACAAGGTCTTTAGAGGCAGTGATAAATTTGAGGGTAGTCATCTGACTTGCCTTAATCAGCACTGATTAAAAAGATCTAAATGGCTCCTGGCAGCCCCTGGATCAGAAGGATACAGATGCTCTCTCCCTAGTGGTACGCCAGTCACCACTGGGTAGGTAAATTCCATCTATAAATGTCAGGGGTAACATTTCAGTCAAAAGTTGTACAGTGGCACTCAGAGGAGCTGATGTACTGTGAAGATATAAGAAGAATGTAAATAACACTCCAAATATTACAAATTTATTATGTACATTGATTGGGAGGCCTTTTGGAGAGGTCATGTTCTCTTTCACTGACTTTGAAAAGCTGTGGCTTAAATAGAGGACACCTTAGAGATGGGCAAGAAAAATTAACAATATAAATGTGATTTTAAAAGCTGGTTATCCTAAAGAGGAGATAAATTGGAAATAATATTGTAGAAGTATACATATTGTTTGACAAAATTAAATCAGCTAATCATTCTTTATCCTTTTTCACAATTCAAGAACATGCAGGAATGCAATTAAATTGAAAGGCTGAAACTTCACAAAGTTTAAAAGAAAATATTTCTTCATGTAACCTAATGTCTCAGATTCCCCTTCAATGAAATGGGACAGTATTTTTTTCCTTCATCTCTGGAAAATATTTGAATTATTCTGAGTTCTTAAACACCAGTTGTTGTATAGGTTAAAATTGGTTATGCAAAGGAACACAGAACTGAACTTTTCTGTAACATTTTTAATGTAGTCTCTAGACTTCAGTAAGTGGCTAAAATACATCTTCCATAGAGTTAATAATAGTGACTTTTAAGACAGAAAGGCTGATTTTTGTGGTTCCTGTAGTTAATTGTATTCACGGTGAATTATTTGCAGATGAAGAGAACCTAATCAATTATCTTTCCTTACTAATCAGATCTCAAAAATTATATTTAGAAATTTGGCCTTGCTCCGCTAATTCATGCAGAGCATAAATATAAAGTTATATTCCTACAAATTCAAACAAGCAGTGGTAATATACCTGTGGAATGAGATGATAGTTTGTGAAACTCAGACCCAGCATCCAGGGTGAAGTTGAAACTCAGGGTTTCTGAGGTCTGGAATGGAATAAGACATTTGCAGAAATGAAATATAAGGTAGGTGAGTGAATGAATTCTAGCACACTTCCTTCTTTTCTTCATGAACCATCTACTGTGTAACTCATTTCTGGGTGGAAGTGTTCATGAAGCAATGAGAAGAAAACAGTTCTTGGTGTTGCATACCCTAAAGACCCTTGTCTTTTATTTACTAGGAAAAATATGTTGGTTTGACTTTAAATAAAATAAATTCAAATGTGTCTTAAAAGTAATTTTTGTTGACTTTTATTAAATGAGGTGCCAAGCAAATGCACTATCAATGTCTGTCTTTTCAAAGTACATCCACTGAATGGGAACCATATAAGCGTGAAAAGACCTTAGAGGAAATGTTAGGTATTATATTTTCTGGTTAATGGCCACCTAGGAGAAGCAGTAAAATAATCATTGTAGTGAAGATTACAAAGTATGTCGTATTGTACCTCACTGTAAATATCGCTTTAATTTTTTATGGCACAGATTATTTGTAAGTTTATTTTATATACTGCATAGCACTTAAATGTCACTGTATCTAAAACCTTTATCCGGGAAGCTCATTAGTTGAGCTGTCTCCGTTTGTATATCTGCCATCAGCATCTGGTGAGAGGGCTGCTGCTGACCCTGCCAGACTTGGGTCATGAGGTCAGCAGGTCTCATTTATTATTCAAAATTGCTTTCTGACCTTTTATCAGCTAGGTCAAAGAATGCTGCATTCTCCTTGGTCGAATTTTATAGTGAAATCAGTATCACGCACAGATAATAAAATTACCAATACACCTGAATCTCATCCCTCTCTCTCCAAAAATGTACTCACTTTGAGGTTGATGAAGTTGGAAGAGTTTCCTGTACAAGCATGTCTGCTTCCAGATCATGGAGGTGCCTTGTCATCCTTGTGAAAAACACACGTAGCTTCACATCTAGCTCATGATTTGATTGTGCATCTGCTTTCCCCTGGTGTGGTACAGAGGCAGCTGAAGGCAGAGCTCCGTAGTTAACAGATGACCTCTCATTTTTATCACTCTCATACTTTTTGCATGGTTACCTATTAACTGTTTCTATTTTTGATGCATTTTCACTGGTAACTGTATCTTCTACCTTAAGTTGCACATCTGTATCTGAATATAGAAGAATTTACAAGTATGGTAAAGCAAGAGAAGTCAATAAATATGAAGGCTTTTTCTTGGAGATTATAACAGAACCTGGAAAAAAAACCCAATTGAGTCCAAAATATTTTTTGATTCAAGATGTGATCTAGATCTAGGAAGTCACTGGCCAGCATGATTTTGGTCCAAACAGAATCCAGAAGCACCCTGGCAAAATTAAGAAGAACTGCTGATCCGAAATTTTAATTCTGTGATGATTGAAATAGGAAGCATAAATAACATTGCAGCGAGAAACATATCTGGGGAATTTTAGAACACTAAACTTTGAAAATTAGCCATGAGATCTTAACAAGCCATACTACAGTATGGAAAATTGGAAACCATAAATGGCAGATTGATTCTTAAAGGGAGCTGTGTAGTTCAGCATTATCCCTCTGGAATGATTTCATCCTTTTTAAAAGAAGGAGCCAAAGGTCACATTGGTCTTGCCCTTGAAGCAGACAATATGAGATGTCAGCTTGTGCTTTCTGACACTGCATATGATGAATAACCTTGACGTAGTAATAAACAAATAACCTATATTAACGTTTAGAAGCACAGTGAAGTATTAATGTAATATATACTTCAACAATGTATTGCAAATATACAGCTTTCATAGAAATGGATTTCCTCTAGTAATACTGTCATAAATTTATGGTTTCTTAAATGCTGCTGTAAAATAAATTCTTTAAGTAACAGAATTTGTATCTGTCTTAAATATGATCAATCATATGTACATAAATGAAGAAAATTGCTATGAACAAGTAGTGGTAAATTAAAATTATATTTAAAAACCCTGAACAACTGTATTCATGTATATATTCAAACTGTTGTAGATACTGTATTTCTAGTGTTTCAAATACCTGTAGTCAATTGCCTTATGTCACTAATTAGTGTTCAGTAAGGTTATCAGCTCTTCTCTTTGGGTATTTCTAGTACAGGAGAAAAAAAAGTATTCTAGTAAGATGTCAAGGTGTGCATAACATTTGGTAGGAATTAAGTGTTTTCTTCTAACTATGGTAAACTAAAATTCTGCTTGTTGGGAGAGTTGTAACATGGTGCAGTAGTCCTTTTAACAAATTCTTCAGCTTTACACTCTTGTACACATTACAGTCTTGATGGCACATTAAGGGTTTTTGTGGTTGGGCTGTTTTAAAGTGAAAGTTAAAGCCATTTGGTATTAATGAAATTCAGGATTTATCCCTGTGAGTGTTTGAAGTGCAGAGTTTCTCATGTTCACAAGCAACGTCTGTATCTTGCAGGTATTCTGTAATTTTACATATCATACTTGTTTGCTTCTACCTACACACAGCGCTCCCAAACAAGGAACCAATTTTTAGTACAGACGAGCTGTGTGGAGAGTTCTCAGTGCTCCCTCTGGATCTTCTAGAGACTTGGCCGTGTGCTGCCATACGGAAGTTAACCCCAAGTCCTACTCTGGCCTTTATTATCAGGCAAACAAAAAAATAAAAATCATGGTGCAATAAATATTCACAGTAGTTTGTTTGAGAGACACTGTCTTAACATTTGTGAAATATTCTAGCACATATCTTAGTGTACTTTATAAAGTGAAAAAAGGCATTTATCATTCTTCCTTATACATATTATGAATGCTACATGTCCATGAAAGATAATTTGCAGGAGATGTGTGTACAGAAGGGACCAAAGTTATATTTCATAGTGTCATAAAAACACTCCAAAGGTTCTACACTTTAGATTCAAGAAATGTGGAGAATGGCATCCTATTGCTTGATGCAAAAAAGCAATACTGCTAGTTAAAAGTGAAAAGCATTTCAACTATAATACTTGCATACACATAATCAACAGAAAAATACATAGAAAACATTACATAACAGACTAATGAAAAAATAAATTTCATCATCCTCTTTTAACAAACATTTGACATGAGATTGACCTGTCTTTACAAGTACCAACCAAATTAACAAAGAGAAAGGAGAACCCCTCTTGTGTCTTTATTTTGAGTGGTAAATGAAGCTCCCTGAGAAGTCAAAAGTAAAGAAAATAAATATGTATCCAGAAGAGGGTGCAGTCTCAAAGAAACCAATAAAAAAAGCTGCTTTGTAGAAGGTGACATAAGACAAGAAGGAAAGTGAGCCCTGCCTATTCATTTGCACTCTGAAGCTGTCTTCATGAGCTAAAACAAATCAAGTAATTTGTTCTTCTAAAACACATTTTCACTTTCCTTTAGCTCTGAATCAGTAATTCCCTGGGAACAGAACCTGAAGTGGCAGCTGTGTATGCAACTGTAAAAGTGTCAGGTGGAGGTAATGTTTTTGTAACAATACAGTGTGGTAAATAATGCAGTAATCCCATTTTTTTAATACTGAATTTAACATTTCTCATTGTGAGAACTATTTAAATCTGTTCTTTAGCCTTTCATATTTTCTAGGAAAAATAGTGTCTCTAAGTAAATTAATACCCCTAGGTACTAATGCCTTACACAGCTGTAGATCTGTTTGCACCCTCTTGAAGTCCAACAGGCCCATGTACTGTAGGTATTTTTTCACATGCTGCCACAGGAGTTCTTGCACTTCTGTAGCAATGTAAAAATGTGGAGCTCTCTTGCCAGAGGTAGGCTATTCTCCTCTGGGAAAAGCTTTTGGTTATGGGAGCAGTTTATGGCTAGAGGTTTGCCTGCATTTGTAATTTGTGATAAAGGGTGTGCAAAGACTGAGGTGCCTATGAGCTTCAATGGGCTCAGCGCATTTAATTAACAATTGAAAGCAGTTCCACTGTGATGCTGCAGCTATGCAGTCTCAAATCACTTGAATGAAAAGTCTGAAGCTCTGTTTTGAAGCCCAGAATTTACTTGGGTTATTTTGGAAAAGATTAAACAGATTCCTGAGTGCCATTTATAAGTGAACTTGTATTCTGTTCTTCTGAAAGTAGTTATGGAAAATCATCTTGCTTGTACAGTATCTGTTCTGATCCTTTTCATATATCCATTAGAATTTCTACACTGCTTGCTTCATCTCGGTCACCTTGGGCAAACTCAGATTGTGCTAAATCAAGAGCAGCTCTATTGCTTTTTATAAAAGTGCACCTAGTCAACACAGAGGTGAAGAAGGGAGTGAACATTCTGTGATTTATTTTACAAGACTGCTGTGTTTTCTGTTAATTATGCTACAGCCATTGCACAGTGCTTTTGAAACTGCAGCCAAGGTCCTGCTGCACATTTGTACCTTTTTTGTGCAGGAGCCCTTTTGGCATTTCCACTTCACTCATCTTACAAGCTGGAGTGCAACCTTCAGTGATCTCTTGAACTGGCAGTTTTGTATCCTGAAACACTAAATTTGTTTTTATCCTTCCATATGAACAAGGATATATATGACTGTCCCTAGATTCACCTCTGAATGTGCAGACAAGTTGGTAGTTGAAAGGAAATAGGAACAGAAACAAATCAACCAGTAAAAGAGAAGAATACCTGCAATACAATTTGAAGTATCAGCAGCAGACTGATGGGACACTTCCATATGGAATTTCTTGTGGAGGACTGGATGATTTCCTATAGTGAGTGTAAACTTCCTTGTGTGAATTGGAATATAGATGTGCACAAATAAACAACACCCTGGTAGACTTAAGTTTCAGAATACCTAAATAAAGATATTCCAGATACTTTTCACAAGGTATAATACAAAAAGTAATAGAAATGTTTGTTTTCAGAGTTAACAAGAAACTAATGATCAGACATCAATGAAAAATCAAATTCTAATCAGTGATTTGGCTACTATGGTAGTACAAATATGGCCAGTGAATGTAATGTTTCACTGACCCTCATAATTTTATGGAAAATCTTATGGTATCTTGTGTGTTTCTTCCCCAAAAGTCCTAGTTCATACGGCAAAGTGATAGTATGCAATTATTGCACTACACATATTATTCTTCCTGAGGAATAAAAGCTCAACATCTAAGAAGGCTAATACTTTAAAAAAAAAAAAAAAAAAAGTGAAAAAGTTACCTAATAAAACTATTTTTCTTCTTCTCTTTTTTTTTTGTTTTTTAACGTCATACCTCTGGAGGCTTGAGTCTTATGCTGAAAGTGAGCAATACCAGAACTAATTATAGATTTCTAAGTTTGGCAGCATTGAGCAGCATCCTCCTGTTATATTTGACCAACCTTATTTAAGCAAAGTGCATTGAATTTGACATTTTAAGATATCCTGCCACTTCTCCACCTAGAAAATTTCTGCCTCACACATACATGACACTTGAATACATCAAAGAGATCATGGAAAAGCTCACACTTTATGGCTCTTGTCCTTGGCTCTTTATCCCACCATGGTCCCTAACTCCAGTAAAAATGTGTTCTTGTACAATGTCTTACCTGGCAAGGTAGATCAGCTGCACTTTTTGGACTCATGCCTTTTAATTCTTCACACATCATGTGGTGTCACACAGCCTCTGGAGCACAGAGATATTGTCAGTCGCCTCCTTAGATGTCCAGCTTCTTGGAAGTGCCTGTGGTGTCTGTCTTGCCTCTTTATTACCTGTCTCAAAGGGGTGGCTCCAGGCTCTTTTGTTCGCTTACAGATAGGTCTTGCTGATGGCCTGAACAATAGGGCTGAGTGTAGGTGAAGGTGCAGTATTTGTCATCTTTTGCCATTAAGTACTTCACAGATTCTTGCTTATCTGTTCATTTGAGGGAATGCCATATTCATTTTCTGGAGATACATCCAGTGGTGCTTAAAGTGGGTGGCCTGTATCTCAAGCCTGTGTCTGTTTTGTGGTAATTGGAGTACATGATTCACATTCATTACCAATATAATTATGTATCATCCCACAGTTCAACAAGCACCTTTTATATTTACACATAGCAACAGATATTGCATATTAATTCAGAGAATAGCAAAGTCCAAATCAGGAGAATAACTGCCTTGAAATTAATCTAAACTCATGCTTCTGTAACAAAGCCCAGAATTATTGTTCATACATACAAAAATGATTTCCAGCCACAAAACAACAAAGGAGAAAGCAACCCCCAGTAACTGGTGTTTAGGAAAAAAATACAAAATTATGCTGTGAGATATTAGTTTGCTGCCCTAAACACCAATTCTCTACACATCTTAGCCATGTAACTGGAAATCATTAATTAAATCCTATGCAGCCAAGAATCATGCATAATGTAACACAGCTACTGCAAACAGTCCGCTCCTGATCATTTAAATTTCCTTCTTGCTCTAACCGACATGAGGAGCTTGTATTTGAAGTAGTCCCTGATGAGATTTTGCCTTTTCATCCTTGGAGAGTGTCCTTGTACATATTTATAGGACAAAGTAGAAGGATTACCTATGTGTGTTTTTTGCTTTTAGGGTATTAAATGTATTAATGTAAAAAATACATACCTTGGTACAATATGATCACCTCAAAAATCTTATGACTCTATGGAAAGTTAAAGGTTCTAATGCTCTAAGCCTTTAAGTAATCATAGTCTGATTGGGTCATGTTTGTAAGATAGCCACTTTTAAATTGAATATGCAATTCCCTGTGAAAAATAAAATTTCCATATCTTCCATTAATTTTTATGAAGAGGATTTTAGTAAGCAGCCCACTCTAAAGGGCAGTATTATTTCTAATCCATTGTCATGTTAGGGGTGAGAATAGATAGGTTACTCCAGCAACTCTGCTAATGTTCAAAAAGGCAATTTGTTTAAAGGATGTGCACAGAAGGAGAAGGAAGTTCACAAATTAAAAACTGCACAGCAGTTTCACTGCAAACCATCTACTAGTCGTACAGTGCTATCCAATTAATCCATTACTCTTAGAAGAGGAATCCCTGTATATCCAGGTACAATCCTTGCCAAATATCTGGACACAATCATAGGCTTTTAGGATTACAAGTAACATAATAAAGGATAATGATCAAAAATTAAGCACAGCAATATAGAATGCTTGGGTTAACTGGACTTGCCATGTGCACTGTAAGGCGGCAGTCTGTTAGGTTTAAAGTGAGATTAAGGAGTTGTGTAACCTGCAATTATGCTGGTTTTCATTAAAAAAATAAGATGATTTGGCTCAGTAGGGCCCTTCCTTATATTTACCTCTGTTTAATTGGATTTGGAACTGCTTAAACATCTTTGAGTTGGAGCTTATAAGAAGATGATCCCAGCTGTTTTTCAAAGCTTAAGACAGCAGGCAGACAACATGATCATGTCAAGACTCATACTAAAGCCTTAATCCTGCTTTTTCATCAACTAGCACTACAGCTGAGTCTTTAACCTTCTAAGTACTAAATGTGCTTTGGATCTCTCACAATACATTTGCTGTCAAATGTTATTCTCTGATAATATTAATTTTTTCTTCCTTTCTAAAAAGCACTTTTTAGAATAGGCTCTATCTGTCTGAGTTTGGAGAGCTAGAGTGTAAGATTGTATTTTCAGTCCTTTTAAAAATACTGCTTACAAACTTGCATGTATTGAAGTCTATTGTTCTCAATGGGGTCAAGGTAACACATTGACATGTAGCTCACATTGCTCTAATGAATAATCAACTATATTGGTAACAATTTTTCATTGTACGTGAATTATTAGATTACTGAAACAATATATTTTGTTTCCAGTAAGAAAGAAATGAGAACCGCTTTAGTTTCATTCAGGTCTTTTTCCTAAGAACTGTCACCATGACCAAAAGAAAATTCTCCAGATATACAGTCTCAAAATTTGCATTATTTTATAACAGTGGATTATTTACTTTAATGATCCTAGGGTTGAAAAGGCATTAAATAATTCTAATGATTTATTCATGCATCTGTAAATAGTAGCCATGCAATGCAATAATCTGTGCTCCTCACCTTTCCTTTCCTTTCCTTTCCTTTCCTTTCCTTTCCTTTCCTTTCCTTCTTTTTCCTTTCTTTTTCTCCTCCTCTGTCGGGTAGTGCTCCGATTTGTCCTGGTGACACAGGGCTGCCAGCAGGAAAGCAAGCGTAGTTAATGCTCAGCTGCTCAAACCAGTCAAGCAAGCTAGCAAGTCCCAGCTGTGCTACTTGATGTTTTTTGATTGCACCTAGTCCTCAATCTGTGAACTGTTTTCTGGACTTAGATTCATCAAGCTCTGCCGCTTTAAAAACTCATGCAGGCAGGCATCCTAGGATATGCCATTATAAGCTGCTGCCAGGGGATCTTCTAGGAGATAAATGGAATCTGTGTGAAGTAAATTAGTGTGAACCAGTCAATCTGTGTGTCAGCCTTGAGCCACATCCATGGGTAACTAGCTTGCTGACTGAAAAGTCCACTGTCTTTTGCCAATCAGAGGTCTCAGTCACCAGGAAGCAGTCCTATACAACATTAGTTTCTTGGAATAATGCCTGTTAGACCAGCCAGCGAAACTCTTCAGTATACGGTTCTGTAGTGCTTGAGTTTACTTATTGCTTACAATTGAACTGAAAATCTTTTAAAGTCAGATAACATTTTAACAGTAGGGAGCATCACAGAAATGTCTTGGAAATAAGTACTTCCACTTTCCTACAGCAGCCATTCAGCAGAGTCATGCTGTGCTGCAGTTGGCTTTACCTCCCTATCAGTAATACATCTCCAAGGCCATAATGCAAAAGAATAACAATAATCTGGCCAGAAGAGGTTAATAAAGAGGCTCTGTGTATTTTTTTTTTCCATGGATTAAGCTATTTGGACAGCTTTGATCGAGAGATGGGAAGACTATAAAAGCTGTAACACTCATATTATGCACAGGGATGTGTCTGTGTCATAACTGTGCTGCACACTTTCGTTTTGGTTTTAAAAGCAAATTGATGCAATCTACAGCAATAATTTCTCTGTAGAAAGGGACTGAACTAGAATACTCTGCAAGCTTCCTGATTAATGATTTTATATTTGAATACCAAATCAATCTATTATCATGAAAATAATAATGTAAATGCTGCCGGTTATGCAATTTTAAAAATAGAAAGTATTTCTTTGTTGGTTTTGTAGGTGCTACTGACACAGGGATAGGATTCACATTTGCACTGTGTGCTCTGCAGCACCATTGGTCTGATGTACAGAAACCAGGGAGAATTTTGCTGTATTTAGGAAAAGGTTCTTAATCCTTGGTGGTTGGTGGCCAGGCACTAGAACAGGCCCCCAGGGAAGTGGTCACAGCACCAAACAGCTCAAGAAGAGTTTGGATAACGCTCTCAGGCACAAGGTGCGATTCTTGGGGATGGTCCTGTGCAGGGCCAGGAGTTGGACTTGATGACCCTTGTGGGCACCCTCCATCTCAGCATATTCTGTGATATTTTTAGAGGTTTGGATAGGCAAGGAAATGCTATATACTTTAACTTTAAAAAAGAGACTGATTATCTAGTAACTAACAGTTTTTTGCTTTCCTTACTAATTCTGTAACCATTTTTTCCTTCCCTATTTTCTCTCAATTACTGTTTGGAAAAAAATAAGAGACGGAGAAATAATGTTGATCAAATAATTCAGTCTCACATCATATTTGATTAAAGGATACACTTATCAAAACTGGAAAAGAGAAATTTAGGCTTTCTAGCCAAGGAGGACATTGAGAAGAAGAAACAGTACATAACAATAGAAGAATTTATAAAAGGCAGTTTGGGGCTGCATTTTCCTTTTTTAAATCCTCCTAAGTTTTATAGAAGCTTGTGCTTCAGAGCTGTGCAGTAGGTGCTCTGTAGAATTTTATGGGAAAGAATTTATTTCTTGCAGCAGAACCCACAGAGACAAATTTAACTAGTTAGGTGTTTTATAATATATACTACACAGAATACATGGACAGAATCTGCTATAAATCACAACTAAGATCAAGACAACTGCTTTAAAATTGAGTGAATGTTTCATTGCACTAATGAAACAAAAATGGGATGTCCTTTGAGAGCATAATTTGTTACATGACATTATATTTTAGTTGAGAGAAGTAGGGAAGTCCCTCTGGGTGAATAAAACTTCCAGGTATATTGGGAAAAGAATCACTGAAAATTTCAATTTTTCTGTCTGGAGGAATGCTGCCCTTATAGATATGGGGAGAAAGGAAAATGGGCTTTGGAGGGTTTTTTTGATATGTTAACACCTTTCTCACATACAGAAGGAAAAATGTTCTTGATGAGCAGCACAGGCTCTGTTTGCAGGCGCCTTTGAAGTGCAAGAGCCAGCTCAGGCTTCCCAGGAAGAAGCATTGGTTGTCCTGCAAACTGAGCTCTGCTGTGTCATATCAGGTCCTACTTCTGCATTTGTTGTAATGGATTCAAGTTAAAGGACCTTCCAGTTTGACTGGTTCCATACTGGCTTTTTTCAACTTCCATATTCTGCAGCATTCACTTCAGAATAATAATGTGTTTCTCTAGGTTAATATCTTCATCTTTCTTTTTTAAATTAAAATGTAATGAAAACTGGGCCAGTGTGATATTTAATCACCAGAAGAGAACAACCAGCCATTCTCAATTAAATGACAACTACATATGCCTGTGCAGATTTTTTCAAATGACACTAACCTTTATGAAATGAGTAGCATCTGATGTCTTCTGTTAGTGAAATGAATTTTTGGTTTGTAGAGCCTGAGAAATGGTCTAGAAAAAAAATAGGGTTCAATTCAATAAGGATGAGGACAGGGATCTAGATTGAGGCAGGATTGGTCTTCTGCAAAGAGTCAGGATGGCAAAGCAAAAGCAAGATAACAGTTTCTCAGGAAAGAATCTGGACTGCAAGCTGAGCATGAGTCAACAGCATTCCTGCTGTGGCAACAAAGGCAAGCACCGTACCAGGGAGTATTACCTGGAAAACCTGTGAGTGAGCCTCAGCACTGGTGCCATCAGGGGCACATCCCCATCCAGCCAGGCTCCTGCCTGCTGGGACACTGCTGGGCAGGAGCATCACCTGCCACAGGGCAGGGGGAGCTCCACCTGCACAGTGTCACCTCAGTGCCTGCCTTTCCTGTGTCTGGGATGTGCGGAGTCCCTGCTGATGTTTCTCTTGGCAGCTCATGATATGGTCTGCCTTTCTTGTAATATTTATGAAATAATCTTACCCTTTTAGTTTGTCTGGAAATACATGGAAAAAGCAAAGTAGGTTAGGAGCCATGCATCTGGAGAGAAGACAAAGGATTTCAGCCACAGGGGTCATGGAGAGAGTGTGCTGGGCTCGAACCTGTGCCTTTTCTCAAACAAGAAGTTGCACATTAAGCCATCAGGGAACAGACAGACAAACAAAATGAGGTGTCTTCCTGTGTGATAAAATTATGGAGTTTGCCATGTCAAAGCGAGTTACGGTGTAGGATGTTAACCATGCAAAAATTCCACATTTAAGGAAAAACGGAAGGAATTTGTGAAACAAAAATCTACTGTGGTTTATTCCAGGAGGGGAAAAAAATTCTTTGTAATTCCTTGAGTTTCAAACTGGACTTTAGGAGAAATTTCTGGTAAAGTATTATTTTATGGTTGTTGGACTCTTACACTGATATTTTTTAGTCTCAGCAAATATGGCTGTTCTTATACTTTTCATTATATTTTTATGACATCTATGAAATGTGCTTTTAAAATAGTACTCAAAGCATTTATTGCTCCATCAAGCTTCTTCGGTATAAGTGCCTGTAGAAGCCAAACAGCTCAGAAGTGACATTGCAGCACAGTTGTTTTATCCATTTACACAAAATTTAAAAATGCCAACATTTTGTTTACCTTTACAGCTTTTTTTTTTTTTTTTTTAAATGCAGTTTTACATATATTGAGGTGCTTTGTATTCCATATTGAACCTTAAATATATTTATCACCTGTATCCTTTCTGGCCTAATATCTTTGAATGAAAAATAATTTTTGTTGCCTTGTCCTGTTGTTTTGAATGACAAATAAGTTCTTGTTTTCCCTGCAGACAGACTGTCTTTAAGTCACTAATCCACCTTATCAATAACACAGGCATCTTATCAGAAAATGCTAAATGTTTTCTTAGCCTGAGTTATGCAAACTTCTTTCTCCAGTGTGTCTGCCCTCCAAAAATTGGTATGCAGAGCATGTGTTTTAGACTTTAGTGCAGGGTATTTCCAGGGTGGAACAAGGCTTTTCAGAGTTTGAACCAAATGTGTAGAAGTAAATCACCATGATAAGTTGTTGCTGTATTTCGTGATTAGGCTATAAACTTCAATAGTTTGTTCAAAGACTGTTCTTTAAAGACTGATCACCAGTCTGTGGTATCCTTTTGGAAATTATTTGTTTTTATTGTGTGGAATTGCTTGAAATATTTTGAAGCTAGACACATTAAATCATTAAATACTATGATCTTATGATATTCCTTTACTATTCTAAATCCCATATCTATTTTAATGACTTTTTCTGTTTCAATAATGTAAGAGAATGGATATCAAGTTCAGTAGACAAGTCCTAAGAGCTGATTAAGATGCATCAGAAAAAAATACTACAATTCTCAAGATTGATCCTGTGCAATGAAGATTTATGTCATTTTTATATGCTAAGTTCAAGGTCATTTGCTTCAGTGAAATATGTCCTTTTACCTTATTTCCATGCTAACAAAGGTAATCTCTACTGTCCATGTAACAAGGGAAATGATACTGCACTGAATAAAAAGAAAATGTTATTGGAGTTATAATATCAGAAATGGTTTTTAACTTGTTTATGACTCGTAGATTTGGGGCTCATTTATACTCTATTTATGTCACTTTGACTACAGAGATTACCTTTCAAAGGGAAGCAAAAGTAATTTTAAGGTCCATTTAAACCCAAAGTAGGACAGAGTGTTTTCTGAATAAAGATGACACTGTTTATGTTTAGTATAAGCAGTTCAGAACCCTCTTTCTCCTACTGATATTTGTACATTAATTCCTATTCCCCTAAGAGAACATGTAGTAAAGTAGGTGTTAGTGTTGAGATTTTTTTTACATTTTTCCTTGATTACATAATGCCATTTTTACTTTCACTCTTTATTTGGGTCAGACTTTACTTTCCTTATTTTTAACTTTTCAATTCCCTTTGTTCTTCTGTGATATTTTTAAGAAACCTTTCTTTTCCAGTTGAGCATATAACGTGATGTTTTGGAAAATAAACATCTGAAGGTCTCTGCCTTGGTCCCTTTCTTGCTCACTGCATGCACTCATTATGTAACTTCATATACCGGGGTCCTGTGAAGTTTTTTTGCCTGGTTTTGTCTAGGGAGGTGTGTGTAGTTCTGAGCAGGTGACAGGGCTGAGAGAGACTTTCCTTATTTGCACGAGTGACCTGATCCCAGCCTGTCTCCTCGTTTTCTGAAACAAGCACTTCCCTCCTTCACTCACACTTGCTGAACTGCCTTCTTTGACAGCTTTTTTGCACAAATTATCCAGAGTTCTGTCTCTCTGTTCCCATGAAAACCCTTTCCACCCCTGCTTTCCACTCCTTTTAAACTGTTCCTAATGACCAGCTATTACTGCAGGTGTTTCATGCTTTTTGGCATTTTTCAGCTCTATCAGCTCTGCCTGTCATTTCTTTTCTTCTCATTTTTGTCTTTCTTGGCTTTTAATGACTCCATCCTCTCCCAGATTTCCCCAAATCTCTGCAGCATCTACTCAGCTACGTCAACTGGAAATCCTCCTGCTTTGTCCAAGCATCTTTCTGTCCTGTCTTGGTTTCTTTCTTGTTCATTTCACACCTTCCTTGTGAGATGCCTCATCTGTGTATGGATGTGCTTCTAGTGGGTTTTATTTGTTATGCTCTGAGTTACTTCCCAGCTGAATCTGGTACCTTCACTGAGAGCACTGGTCAGTACTGTGATGTAAAATCCAGCTGGTCTGTTGAAATTGTCTGACTTGTGCTGACACGGCCTGGGAAGGAGCAGAGCACTTGAGCAGGTTTGTCCGAGTCCCGTGCAAGGAGCTGCAGCACAGACTTCCAGTAAGAGAAATCTCTGCCAGCTCCTACCTGGGACTGATTCTGGTGCTGTGAAAGTGTTTTCCCTCTTTGGTTCACTATAAGAGTTCTTGACTGGATGAAAATACACAGTGCAATTCAATTTGAAAAGCTGATTCTGAATTTTTGGTGACTACTATTAGACCAAAACAGACAGGTCTTGTGATTTTTTGCTCTCTCTTCAAAGGCATAGCTGTACTTCTCGTTTTCTCTCTTGCATCATGGGGTACTCTATTGGAAATTTTCCTATTATTCTACTTCAGAGTAGTTCTGACTTAAAGATTCATGCAGCTGTAATGACTCAATCTGTTGCTCAGCACAGTGCAGCTGACTCCACTGTATGAAGAACTGCTTTAGAAAAAGGTGTTCTAGGAATTTGGCATAAAATTATTTTGTTTTTAAATATAATATGAATAATTGTATATTCCAATTTTTCTTTCAAAGGGGGAATCTTCACTTAGTGCATTTGAAAATTATATAAATGTTGTCAAAAGAGAAAAGGACAGATATCTTTAAAGCTATTTCTTCCTTTACATATCGTAGCTTTTTTATGCGTGAGCAAGAAAATTTGTTATTTGTTACTGTAATTGTTCTCCAATGTCAACCTCACCCCATGCAGATTATCAAGTCAACACTCCCCAGTTTACTTGGGTGGAGTTTTGCATACTGATTTGTTGCTACCGGAGGCAAACTTTTTGAGCAAATTTTACTGGGTTTTTTGTTTTTTTCAGGTGAAATGCATGGTGTCACTATCACATATTTCATTATTTATTATGTTTTAATATTACCTTTTCAAGATTCTAATTTTACACTAGTATTGAAGCCCTGATTGTTTCAAACAGACTCTGTGTAGCTGCAGGAGTCAAGAGTGATGGCACCTTTTGGTGACCTGGGATCAATAGTTGCAAGCCCATGGAAAGCACAGAGCACTGAAGTGGGATATGTGTCTTTTGAGCTCCTCATGTCTGCATACTGCCCTGAGGCCTTGTTGATTCACTCATAATCTTGGAAAATTTAAATAGGTGTTTAAATTATATAATCCTTCAGCAAATATTCATTTGGTCAAAAGAAAAAAAAATCCATCAAAATTTATAAGGGAATGAATTTCCTCTTTTGAAAAGAAGACGAACACGGAGATTGTTCATAGCCCTTGGTATTTCCATCCCCTGGAAGTCTGGAACTTTGCTTGGTTTTCTAGATATTACACAAAAAAGAAATGTTTTCTAGCCACTGCTATTAGGAAATAGGATCAGCTAAGAGTTTTAACAGACAAAAAACTTGAGATCTAGTCTTTACTGTGCTATTCTATAATATACTGCTTAATAATTGTTAAAATACTTATTCAAGCTATATTTGTGGCTCCATGTAGAGATATGAAGCAGAAGAGAGGGAAATGGACTTTGAAAAGGGGAATACCTCTCTTCTGCTCAGGAACAGTTATGTGGGATTTGTTCAAAAGCCAAGTGAATTAAAAAGTCATGTATAGAGAGGTAATTATTTCCCTGAAAATGTTTGTGTGTTCTGAAATGAAAACGATTTTAGCAAATACATAAAACATGTAACCAAATTTGGTAATCTTTAATCTCCAACTCAGTCTGGGTTTCATTGCATTTTGGAGTTATCAGTAATTTTCTTACACTTTCCAGCTTGTCGTATGCAACATATTTTCATCTTAAAACATACACCATTTCTCTCCTTGCTGAATGACTCCAGTAATTACAAAACAATCTAATTGATCTTTTTATGTCGTTTACTGGCTTATTTGGTGAAACAGACAAGCAGTTTTTTATGACTTCTAAATGATTTTATTATTTTAGGTTTCTGTAAGAAAAAAACTTGGTCTTCTACTTCAAAGGGACCTCATTTAAGCTGATGCCTCAAGTTTCACCCTGCATGCATTCTTGTCTATGGATTTTTCAACTGTCCTGTAGCTGCATATAAGTAGTTTGTGTTTCTGGAGTTTTTTTCAATCTATTATTTGTGTTTACAAATTATGTCTTCAGCATTGAAGGCTCTGCAGAAAACCAGAAAGTGTTGATTTCTGCATACATTACATTTCTCCCTCCCTGTGTTTTTATTCCTTGTTGTTCCAGTCAGTGTGCTGAAGCATGACAAGAGCTCCAACTCGGCAGACTTCCAAGATGTGGAGGATACGCCTGACAGATGTGTCTTGGAAGAGTCTGAGAATCCAGGTGAGAGGCATTTTAAGACAGCCACCAAGTATCAAGTGATAAATCTGACACAGCTTTTGGGTCTGTAAAAAAAGCACATTGTAATGCTGTTTCCTTTTTAGCAGCTGCAATGTCAAATTAATGGTCACCTCCAGGGGTCACAGTGTGGAGCTGTTATCCTTTCCTCTTTCATCAGGAATTCAGGTCTTAGAAAGGATAAAGGCTTTATGACCAAAAAGAAAGCTGACACTACTAGTTCATTATAATTACTTTTGGACTACACTGCTTACTTAATATATGTACAATGTCTGACCCTTTGAAGGTGGAGTGAGATTATGAAAAATTAGAAGTACTGTATATTCTGCAGCTGAATGCAGCAGCAGACGCTCAAACACCGTATCTCTGGAGGAAAGCAAATTGGTGGCATTAAATAGCTTGATTTTTTCCTTTAAATCAGCTCACAATCATTATTTCATTTTAATGACTCTTAACATTGATTCAGCTAAATACAGGAACATCCATAAAGTGCATCCTTTTTGGTAACCGAAAGATTTATCTTCATGTAGTTTCATTATCTTTCTCGTTATGGAACATCTACGAAATTTATTAAATGAATCCCAAAAGGAAACAATTAAATATAAATTGTATCCAGTCACAGCTGATTAAAAACATTCTATGGGACTAAATACTAAGATCTTTTAAGCGAACTGTGAGCTTGACCCATATACACCACACACATAACCTGCACATAGTCCTCATTAGTGAAAGAGTTAAACATCTTTCTTCACTTGGTATTTTCCTTCCTGCTTTATCTGGTTTCTCTGTACCCTCCTGCATCTTTGTGTGCTGATCCGTGTATCATATTTTTGATTCATCGTCTCTGCGGCCTGTCAGCTTAGTTAAGAGATTTCCAAATCTTGCAGCCTGTGCTGACAGGGGGCAGCTGCCAACAGTCCCCTGATCCTTCCCCAAGGAACACTGCTGAGATTTAATTTTCAGTCAAAGGGTGCAGTCTGAAATCCATGTCAGGTCCCCTAAGTCATCTCAGAACCCGGATAGGACCCATGTCTGGGGGATTATATTTCAGCACACTCCACTCTTCCAAGATTCCTTGGGAGTTCAACTACTGTCATACACCTGATTTGAACTACATTCCCTTTTCATCTTTTCCAGAGAAATGAGCACCAGTATATGTTACAATAATTGAAACCAATGAATTGTAAATCTCTATTCATTTTGAAGCCACATAGACTTGGACTCAATGTCGTCCAGCAGAAACCAGCATGAGATTTAGAAATAAATAGATAATTTACTCAGAAAGGAGCCAGGTTTGACAATCTGTGGTGTTTAGTATCTCCTCCAGAAACCATCTGTAGTCCCTTCAACAGAAATTATGAGCCAAAATATGGATTGTCCAAGATTTGATCAGTTTTGAAGTGAGAAAGAATTAAAGCAAGGTGGCACTACAGTGTTCAGGAGACAATTAATGTACCTTAAAGACAACACTAATTTTAGCCTTAAATTAATTCTCTCTGGCAAAGTGTACCTGTTTGGATGGGAACTTACATATCCAATTCTGCACACTGCATATCTATATGAAGTAATGGGAAGAATAAAAGCCTGTCAGTAGGTGAATATTGACTGGCAAAAATACATGTTGATAAAGCATCCAAACTTAAAAACTGAGTTCCAATCGGTCCATCTGACATCATTAAACTAGTAATAAACAATGAATTACTCTAGCTTTTGTTTCTGTTCATTCCTGCATTTTAAGACATCTTGTCTTATAGGTCTGAAAACCTCAGGAGATTTCACTACTGGTCTCACTGCTTTCCACTGAGAATTTGTGGCTTGGTTGTCATGGAGACATCGTATTTCTCCAAGAATTGCTCATATTGATCCGTGGACAGGCGTAAATGGCCAGGCGAATGTGAGGAGTAAAGGGGGTTGGGCAGTACTATAAAATGACCAGAGGTTATGGGTCGGAAATAAGCTCATAGCAAACACTTAGGTAAAGAGAAAGAAACAGTTTCATTTTGTTTCAGGATTTCGTTTTTGCACTTTATGCCATTGTCTTCTTTCACTATAGACTGAAAGAAACTTGTTAGTCACTTGTCATGTCAGATCTTTGGTGCTTGTCCTGACACAGCTGTCAGCCTTCCAGCTCTGTGCAGTTCAGGGACACACAACAAAGAGCTAGGAACATGAATTATTTATTGCTCCTTGTGCGGATGAAATTCTGTGATAAGAAATTAAGACACTTCTGACAGAAGTGCTTGTTTGAAAGGAAAGATTTGGTAACACAATACATTTACTTAAAGCTTACCATTTACTTTTAGTAGCAAACATTGAAACAATAATATGACATTCAGTTGGCTATGATTTTCTCATGTGCTTTAACTTCAAATCATGGAACCTGAGAATGCCTGGGAGGTCAGCATTTGGTTTGGTGAAACCTGTGACTTAAGAGTCTCTCTCACACATATTTAAAGGCTGGGAAAACTTGCAAACTTAATTTATAAGTTTTTACTAATAAATCTCTAAAAAGTCTCTTTTGCTTCACTTATCAGATGTTGTCATAGTTGCAAAAATGATGTTAAGAAATATATTTATTTTATTATCTCTTCTGATGAGGTAAAGGTGAAAATATAGCAATATACCTGGAAGGAATTCCAGCTATTCCTAGAAAGGGTTCTTTATTACAACTTCTACCAGATTCAGGAAGGCTGTAGAGCAGTCATTAATACATCTATCTGTACATTGTGGTTTTTGCTGGTGAAAGGTGCAGTCTCTTTCCTTGACATTAGAATGAGCTTTATTTTCAAAGTGATCTTTGTTTTCAAAAATCACATTAAACTTACTCTGTTTTACTTTCACATATTCTGTGTCTGCACGTTCTCACTGCTCTGCGTGTGGGCCTCCAGCAATTGTAGGAGGCAGATACTCAGATGAATAGCAGGAATCCATTTGACTACCCAAGACACCAATCCAAGATTTACCTGTGATTTCTTGTGTTTAATGTGTGATCTGAACTACTCTCAGATAGGTAATGAAACCCCTCAACCTGCACTTTTCTCTTGGATAATTCACAGTAAACACTTTTCACAAGTGATGGACACAGGTAAATATCAGACTGCAGTTTCTTGTCTAAGTGAAATAGATTTTAGTTTCTCCCTTCATGTGGCTACAGGCTGCCATTATCTGTGATAGTGCCTCATGTCTATTTTAGGCCCCACACAGAGGAGATGCTGGGCTTCTCTCCCAGATGCCTAATAGTAGGTTTATCACTGCCATTTTTCCCCACATGCTGAGGACTACTCCCATTTGACATGCAAAGCCTTGGCTTTTCAAACTTGTCTCTGCTCTGGCCTTGAATGTAATAATCAGATAAGAATTGCAACAGTTTTCTGTAGAACTTGACTTTTAATCATATCAATCTCCCATAAAGAATGCACTATCCCTTAAAGTGACCCTTTCTTTAAATAAATATTCCTAACAGTTTTTCATTTTACCGGACAAATTTTCCGCATTTAAGGAAACTGGAAAAGAAGCTGAAAATGAGCGTCCATGGATGTGTTAGTTAGACTTCTAGGTCTGATTTTTCTTCTACAAATAGTGGTGGAAAATTTACATCCCCAGCTGCAGATCAACTTGTCCAAAGGGAGTTGCTTGAAATGGTTCTTAAGGGGATTGAAAATGCTCTGAATTTTTTTTAGTCAAAATCTAAGACGATTGTAGTGGGGCTGGCTAAACACAGCTTGAGGTGTCCTAGCTTTCATATGTGGGGCAGTCTCACTAGGGAGGGTTCTGCAAGTGCAGGTCCTGTGGGGAAAAAGGAATAGACTTGAACTGAAATCACAGAATCACCACGTAGACACAGATGCTTCTTCCCTCTTATAGTCCCCAAAAGACACGTTGCTGTAGAGTAGGAAATAGACTATTACTTCACTTGGAAATAGAGGGAAACTGAGCCTCAGTAATGGGAGATTGAATTGGAAGCTGTAGATGGAAAGTACAGTGTTTTCCTTCTTTTGGATAGAAAGCACATAAATGGTAAAACCCCTGTATACTTATGGCCTCAGGTATGAGACAGTCTCTGCCTCAGTCTCTGCCTGGTCCTTTCTGCAGCTCATGATCTCTCCTGTCCCTTCATTCCAAAACCATTGCACATATTAAATTTTCTTTCTCTTCAATTTTTCACTTTTCAGGACAGAATGTAATTCTGGGTGCATAACAGATAATAGGGATATCCAAGCAGTTTTCACAGTCTTGCTTAATTGCTTGTCCTATATAGAGACCTTGGCACAGAGATGGGAAAGGTCTCTGACTGTCCCTGAAATATAGTGTGTGAGAGGCAGAACTGTAGCAAATAGAAATAAAAGTGTAAGAAGAACAGAAGATTCTTATTAGCCACACTGTGCTTAAAAATACAGCACTAAAAGTGTGACTATCTTGTTATCAGGCAAGTTATAATTACTGCATCAAATACTCACCAGCTCCAAGTCCCATCCACTGAAGGGTGTTTTTAAAATCAGCAGTGTCACCTCTATGGCTTTTGATCAGAACACAGGCAGAATTGAAAAGGAAATATTCAGTAAATTTCCAGATACAAAGCACCCTAGAAAATAATGATTTTCTGTGCTTGCATCCTCATGTAAAGCAGGAGGCAGTAAATGAGGACTGACCTGGGAATGGGGTGCTGGAAGCTGTTGCTTGTGAGGATGCATGAAGCAGGACGAAGATGCAATGTAGGGGCAACCCACTGGTCACAGGCACTGATAGCCCAGGGACTGTTCATAAAATGTCAGTGCCCAGGAATATTCCAGAAAGAAGTTCTGGAATTTCCAGTGTAAGCATGGATGTATTAATTATAATTTCACTGCAGTAGATGTAGTGTCATGTCCTACCAGTGTTCTGGTTTACTGGAATCAAGACTCATATGTTTTGGTCTGATTTGTGATGTTTTTGTTTGCTTTTGGTTTTGTTTTTTAATAGCAAATTAAACCATAAAATCAGAAGATTGTCTAATAGTCATCAAGAAAATGCATATGTCTCTGTGTCTATGATACAGATAGACAGAAAGGTCATAGATAATACGATAAATTTACAAAATATTCATTAGACTGCAATAAAATAATGTGTACTGCTTTCTCTATGTTCATATACTCATGAAAAGTGTGGTGGTACCTGTTTGAGCAGTATTTCTAATGCAAGTAACATTTAAAATTCAGGTTGTAAATATTACTGTACATCAAATTAAAAGAAAACATGAAGATAAAAATTGATGATTGAAAGCTTTTCTATGGAATTTTAAAATGCCTTGACAGGAAATATAATATAACATTACTTCTGCTTAGAGCTATTGTATGATTATTTCTGCTAGGAGAAAATATATATGACAGTTACTTTTGCAAAGGAAACATAAAACCCTATTAATTTAAAAGAGAAATTATCTTTTTGCTGATCCACTGGAGCGCCTTCCTTTAAAACAAAAGAAAGGAAGAAGCAGAAATCAGTGCAGGAGAAGAGTGTTGAGGAATGCCATAAATTCTCTTGAGCTGTTTTGGGTTCCATACTGCTTCCTGTGGTATATCAGTTATAATGTGAACAATCTTCTGGAAGTAGATTTCTGGATCTTTTATGAGGGAGCTAAAAGTTTTTATTCTGTTACAAAAACTATAATGTTTGTTACTCTATAAAAATACTGTAAATAACATATTTTAGTAACAAAGTCCCAGCTATTACTTCATATTGTAAAATAACTAAGCCTCAGATTGTGAATCAGTAAGAAATTGTGCATTTCTTTTCCAGATGACATGAAGCCACATCCCTGGATATCTAAGGTGTGCTCCTGTAAGGTGTGTTAGAACAAACCTGCTGAGATGAAAGAACTGGAAGATGTAGAAGGACAGCCAAAAACAGGACATATATGGTGTGGTGGACATGAAATCGCTTTTTGTATTTATTACAGTACCTTTAACAATTCATTTTCAGAAGAAATACCTTCCACAAGATCAACTTATTTTGGCTGATTTATTGGCTTCAATTCACACTTCCATTACTAATAGATTTACATGTATTCAACTAAATTTGAGCAGTTTTGTAATAGAAAATATTAACTCTTCATTTTTAGATAGCATTCACTTGTTTATGTAGTGATCTTTACAACTTTGATTGCCATTAACAATTATATCAATTTTAGTATTGTTTTACATACATCAAATTTCAATTTTTCTCTCTCCTTCCTTCTGAATTTTTTACCAATAGCATTTCAACACCGAGTAAAACCAAATGCATTTCAAATAATTTCCTGTTTTCACTAAAAAGAGAAATTCACAATTTGAATTAAACATGAAAAATTTAGAAATAACTAAAATACAAAGAATGATCTGTGCACAGTAGAGAATAGGAAATTGATAACAAATCTGGTCATGTCTACAATGCAAATTTTCCTTTTCTCTAAATACTACCATTACTGTCAACTGTAAAAATGCAGTACCAGTATGGAACTGGAGAAGCCCATTGGGGTCCTCTTCTGAAATCATGTACTTCATTGAATATCAATTTGTTTTCATTGGAAAAAGCAGCTATACCTTTTTTACTTTTTTTTTCCTAAAAAAAAAGATATTGTTATATTTGTAGAATATATGTGGCTGATTAGACCCATTTATCACCTTATATCCTGTGGGACTTAAGCTGGTTTGTCACATAATGGCTGCTCAGAGCAGTAAGCTCACTTTCTTTGTTGCCAATAGTTGGAGTGCTACTCAAGGCAAAGGATCTTCAGGATGTTCCTTATGGATCTGGACCTTACGGTGGAAAAATCCTAGTCTGAGTTATCCCTTCTAATTGTCACTTTAGCCATAAGATCCCTTAACTAGGAGAGTCAATGTTTCTTCAATGTGAAAAGATTCTCTGCCAATGAATCTCATTTTTGTCTTGTGGGGTTGCAGGAGTGATAAAACCTGTTTTTTGTTGCTACAATGTAGTTTGAATGAAGCAGATGTGAAAGCTTCTTCCTTCTGTTTTTTTATATCCTGTAAGTCCATGTCCCGCAGTGCAGTGCAGTGTATGATCTTCTGACACACTGGGTGGTGGAAGGGCATTGTGAGAAGCATCCCAGTTTTTATTCAGCTAAAGAATATGTAATTCAACTTGGCTGCAATCCAGAGAAGATAAAGATAATTAATGTTATTTTTTCTGTGACTGTGAATACCATGAAGAAAAATGGCTTATTTGGGCAGAAAAGTCAATGGTTTTAACACATTTGGTATTTTTCAGAAACAACTTTCCTTGTTCATAGAAGGAGTTTTCCTCTCTAAAATGTATCTTTTGTTCATATGTGGTAGTATTTGAATTATGGTGACTGAATATTGAGTGTTACGGCTTCATTCTTGCATTTCTTATGCTGGATGTGTGGAATATTATCATTGATGTTTTTATACTTGCACTCCACAACAGAGAGCGAAGCATGTCTTTAGCTGACATATATCCTCCTCTTAGCTTTTGTGGCTGAATGAGAGTTGCAAACATCAAGAAGGTAAAAAGAACCTTGCAGAGTGTAGAACAAATTGCAAACAAAGGATGGACCCATCTTCCTCCTTTGCTCCTCTTCCATATGAACAACCACATCCAGTTGTTGCAACAGTCTCTTCCATGGACATTAAAGACTCTGTTCACAAGAGCCATCACTGCTTTGCATCAGCATCTACTCACTTGGGCCAGGATAACAAATTTTTTGAAAACTCTTTCATCTAGATATTTCAAAAATGGATGTGTTCAAGGAGGTCTCATAGCTCAAGGAATTGGCATTGTCCATAACACCCAGTACTGCTGTAGTAGCAATTACATTTGTGCAACATGATATTTGATTGCTTGTCTTTAATTCTGCAAAGCAGTGCACATCAGCAGCCTGCCAATACAGCCAGCCTGCTGGAATGGTTTGTGCAGCGATGATCGGTGTTTGGCACATGCTTGTGCGTGCTTTGTGCTAATTATCATTACAGGATCAGTAAGGTAAAGCAGGAACTTTTTTATTAGGTACATTTATTTCCCAGTAAAACAAATATATTCCCCTTGTCTTCTGGATGTCTTTCAAACAACCAACTTTATTATATGTGCTCACAATGAACTCAGAAAAATCTTTTTTGCAAGAAAGTGACAATTTCAGAGCTGAATACACAAATACAGATTAACTTCCTGTCATAGTTTCTTGTAAGCCAAACTGAAGAAGCATTTTGTATGATTGTGGTCTCATGTATCACTGCATTCATGCTAAAGGAGATGGAGTTTACAACAAAGTCCCAAGGCAATTAAGAATATCTTTTTCTATTTTGTTACTCTGAAGGAATCCTGTCAAAAGGAATAGTAGGCTAATATTTTTGAGTAGTTGTTTAAATTTTAAATATGGGGTAAAAGCCTCATGAATACCTAAACTGCTTAAGGAATTTGGTGTTTTGGCTTGGCTTGTATTTTTTCCCATACAGAAGTCACAGGCTCCAATGACCTGTACAGTTCAAGGTATGGTTTCACAGTCAGGGCGATTTTTCCCCACTCCACCCTCAGACTTCTGTGTCTCTTCATTTATGTTTGCACTACTTCTTGTGTGCCCAGGCTGTGCCAGGCAAGCACTGGCCTCAGTGAAAAGACCAGAGGAGGAACGAGCAATCCAGAGTGGAAATGTGGGACAGTTCACACAAAAATGAGCATGAAGTTGAAGTTTAGGGTGCTGTGTGCAGGGTTCTTACTTAAACATAGACTTTTGGCTTTCAAATCCTATCAGCATTTTTTACGTTACATGCATAATTCATTATATTATTTTTTTAAAAATTAAAAGGCACTTATTGCTTTAGTGTAAGACAAAATCAAAACTCTTCAGCCTTTCTATTGTTTGTGAGACTTTGAGTTTTCCAAATAATTCACACTTGGTCTGACTGGTCATACTGAATGGTCACTAACTCTAGATTTCTGTCTGGAAACCTCCCTAAAGTTTGAACCATTCATTTATGTCTCCAAATCCAAACATTATATTTTGAAATCTCTTGTGCCATTTACATATTTTAAATTTGATCATTGTAATAAACTGCTTCCATTTTGGGGTTGTATTTTGTGGAGTAATGCCCTTCCCTAATCCAAAGCACATTAGTGTGGGACTTAATGAGATTCAGTGTTTGAAATAAAGTGACACTTTCACAAAACCACTGTGTAATGGGGCTCCAAACAGCAGCAGTTTAGCAAGGGAAATGGTTTTGCAAGTCTGACTGAGCTGAAGCATTGAAAATTCAGAAAAGAAGGGGACACTTCAGTAAGCAGTATTACCTCTGCCCAGGATTTTACTCCTTTTGAAATAACAAGTTCTCTGAAGGCAGACAGGACAGTGAACTCCAGCACAAATCCCAGAGCCATGTTGAATAGCATTGCACCCACATCTGTGAAGACTAAGTCCTGCTTCCTGGAATGGATATTTCTGGTGGATTTTGTTGGCCATGCTTCTTGGATGAGAAAAGGATGCAGAGGAATTTCAAGGACTGGTTTTCCCCTTTTTCCTTCCTCACTGAATATATAGACTGAACTGCTAGACAAAGATCTTAGCACTACTCTTAGCATTTGAGTTGGGGTATCATTTGAATTTATAGAGCCCCAAACTGAAAATGCATCTATTTTACTTTTGGAGAAGTAGTTCTGATCTTGATTGCAACATAAAATTCACACAATAACCCAAGATTGTCTTACTGGGGCCCATGGGAAGTTTGTTTCTTGAATGACACCTGCTGGAAAGTCTAAAGTGTGTCTGAAAGCTGTGCTGTGGGACAGAGGCACGTCACAGCAAGAACACCTTCCCTGTCTTCTGATGGATGTGGCTGTGATGGGTGAGTACAAACAGAGCTGCCAAGGTGAAGCACTGTGAGTTGCTAAACAATGTCAAAGATTATGAAGCTTAGCAAATATCTGAAAAGTTTTTTTAGAGCAGACTGCATTTGACAAAATTTCTAAGCAGTACAAATTTAATTACATTTATCTTTTTCTTTCATGTTTTTCAAGGTTTAACTTCAGAGTACAGAGTTCTGCTGCCTGAATTTACATTGTGCAGTGCAAATATAGCAATAAAAACCGTGTTTATTCCTCTGCAATACTCTCAATATGACAGTCGTGAAAAATAGCCTCTCTGGAGTAAGTAGTATATATAAGTAGTATATGTTGTTTCATTTAGTATTTTAGTGCCTCCAGTTTTACATCAACTGGCAGATTTTCTTTCTTTCTTGTTTATTTTTGGGTTTTTTTTTTGGCATTTGAAAACATAATACTCATCAGAAAAATATTAACAATATCCAAAACTAGTGAAATAGTGATATTTTCCTTATTTATTCTTAAATTTTATCTAAATAATGTGTGATCTTTTTGATAATAAGGATGTGGGGAAATCATATCCAAAATCATAATGAATTTTCCACACAGAAACTGAAGGTAGTAAAAGATTCTGTTCAGTTTCAGATCTGTATTTTCTATCATCACACTGATCTGCAGACTTATAGCTCTGACCAGTAAATGTAACAGATTTTTGTTGTTTGTTTTGGTTTATAGTCTTCCTGCCATGTAGATGGCAGCAGCACTCAAGCCTTGAAATTCACTCCAGCTTTTTCTTCAGTTTGTTCAAAAAAAACATGTTTAAGAATATTATTGCTGAGACAGAACTGAGAGCCTGATTAAAGATGGATATCAGTTTAGTAACATATGTCTCTAAAGAAGCTTTAATCTTCATAATATCAGTGTCCAAAAGTCAGTAAGTCATAGCTGTGTGTATTATTATAATTGTCACTATTATTTTTCTCTACATTTTGACTTTTTTTCCCCCTGTATATTTAATTTC